GTGGAATCCATGCTGGTTCAGTATGCCTTCAGTTTTGAATAAATCCCCAACAGTGTCATCAGCAAAGCAACCCCACACTATCACACCTCCTGCACCATGCTTCATGGTGGGAACCAGGCATGTAGAGTCCATCTGTTCACCTTTTCTGTGTTGCACAAAGACATGGTGGTTGGAACCAAAGATCTCAAATTTGGACACATCAGACCAAAGCACAGATTTCCATTGGTCTAATGTCATTCCTTGTGTTCTTTAGCCCAAACAAGTCTCTTCTGCTTGTTTCCTGTTCTTAGCAGTGGTTTCCTAGCAGCTATTTTACCAATGAAGGCCTGATTCACACAGTCTCCTCTTAACAGTTGTTCTAGAGATGTGTCTGCTGCTAGAACTCTGTGTGGCATTGACCTGTTCTTTAATCTGAACTGCTGTTAACCTGCCATTTCTGAGGCTGCTGACTTAGATGAACTTATCATCCACAGCAGAGGTGACTCTTGGTCTTCCTTTCCTGGGGCGGTCCTCATGTGAGCCAGTTTCTTTGTAGCACTTGATGGTTTTTGTGACTGCCCTTGGGGACACTTTCAAAGTTTTCCCAAATTTTCAGACTGACTGACCTTCATTCCTTAAAGTAATGATGGCCACTTTTTTCTCTTTACTTAGCTGCTTTTTTCTTGCCATAATACAAATTCGAACAGTCTATTCAGTAGGACTATCAGTTGTGTACTGTATCCACCTTCTGCACAACACAACTGATGGTCCCAACCCCATTTATATAAGGCAAGAAATCACTCTTATTAAACCAGACAGTGAAGTGAAGACCATTTCAGGTGAYTACCTCTTGAAGCTCATCAAGAGAATACCAAAAGTGTGTGAAGCAGTAACCAAAGCAAAAGGTGGTTACTTTGAAGAACCTTGAATATAAGACATATTTTCAGTTGTTTCACACTTTTTTGTTATATATATATATAATTCAACCTGTGTTAATTCATAGTTCTGCAGCTCATTTTTTGTTTCTGAATCATTGGGAAATTGTTGGTGCTCCTCAGTCCAGGCTTATAAAGACACATGAACTACTGTATTTCTTTAAAAAAAGATCCTACTTTTTAAAGATGCAAAAGAGAAAAAGAAATGAATAAATTGTTGTAGTTTGGTTATGTTTTTCAACACACTCATTTTCTCATATTTAACTACAAACCAGTAAGATTTAAAACAATACTGACAAAAAAGTATCTTCTAAAACAACACAGGGCTGGAAGATAAAACAATAA